TTGAGATACCATCTCACACCAGTTAGAATGGCAATCATTAAAAAATCTAAAGACAACAGATGCTGGAGAGGATGTGGAGAAATAGGAACACTTTTACACTGTTGGTAGGAGTGTAAACTAGTTTAACCATTGTGGAAGACAGTGTGGCACTTCCTCAAGGACCTAGAAATAGAAATTCCATTTGACCCAGCAATCCCATTACTGGGTATATACCCAAAGGATTATAAATCATTCTATTATAAGGACACATGCACGCATATATTCACAGTGGCACTGTTTATAATTGCAAAGACCTGAAACCAACCCAAATGCCCACTGAAGATAGACTGGACAAGGTAAATGTGGCACATATACACCATGGAATACTATGCAGCCATAAGAAACAAAGAGTTTGTGTCCTTTGTAGGGACATGGATGAATCTGGAAACAATCATTCTCAGCAAACTGACACAGAACAGAAAATCAAACACTGCATGTTCTCACTCATAGGTGGGTGTTGAACAATGAGAACACATGGACACAGGGACGGGAGCATCACACATGGGGTCTGATGGCAGGCGGCAAGGGAGGAACAGCCTGGGGGGCGGTGGGGAGGTTGGGGAGGGATAACATGGGGAGAAATACCAGACGTGGGTGATGAGGTAATGGAGGTAGCAAACCACATTGCCATGTATGTACCTATGCAACAATCCTGCATGATCTGCACATGTGCCCCAGAACTTAAAGTACAATTAAACAAAAGAAAAGAAAAGAAAAGAAAATTCTCAGGCACCACCTCACACTTAATAGATTAGACTCTCTGGGAGTTTGCACAGTAACCCGTATTTAGCAAGCTCTCTAGGTGATTCTTTTGCACACTAAAGCTTGAGAACTACTGCAATACACAGTCCTACCCACACTGCTTTTTGCTGAATTGATCACTTTTTTTTTCCTGGTTGTTATAATTCTGATTCAGCAGAAAAAGAAAAGTACTACATTTTGCTGAAGTTCAACTCAGGAGTCTCTTTTGGCCATTCGGGAACATTGTAAAAAGTCAAGGTTGTCTTTGCCTTACTTCCAGATTCAACGGGCTCTTGAATTTAGGGATCCATGCATTGGGCCCCATTTTAAGGTTACATTCTTGAATCAAATGAGCAGTGGCCAGTTACTCCTCTACACAGCCTGAGTACACAAAGGGAGAGAGGGTGAGTCTGCAACTCAAAGATCTATTTTCAAATACTTAACAATGAGTCCCACTGTACTGTCTCCTCTGCCAAAATGAGAGCCTTTTACACTCTATTTCTCATACACTTCTGTGATCCAAATGTTTTACTACAAAACCTTCGGTATTTTCTCCTTTCCGAACAAAGAAACAAAAATTTTAGTGACTAATAAACATCTCTGACAAAGATGCTCTCATTTTTAGCATAAAAATTTGTCTTCTTTCAAATGCGATTCTTTTACTACATTTTCAGTTCTACAATAATTCTAACCCATAAATAATGGGCCTATCCCTGCATACTGTCTATTTCCCACATTTCTGCCATCTTTGTGAGAATGAAAGGATTAATAGACTCAGGGTTCATTTCAGGCTGATACATCAGCAACATCTGTCTCTGCCAGTTTTGGGAACCTGGTGTTCTCAGTCAGGAACCATCTGGATAACCACAGGTGTTTGCTGCTTCTTGGTTTTCTCAGAGTTCGATAGTTACACTTTACCATATTGTTGCCCCCCCCCCCCCAGCACATCTTACATTGGACACATTATTTCCTATTGAAATTTGCTTGCACAAAAGGAGGAAGCATTGTGCTGACTTTGAGGTCAGGCCAAACTCTATGGCTGATGACCTGAGCAAGCTGCTTACTGCTCTATTCAGTTCCCCAACTATAAAACAGGTATAATTCAGTGGCTGTCAAATTCTAGGGTGCATTGGCATTATTACCTGGAGATTAGGTAAAAAAAAAAAAAAGAAAGAAAGAAAGCAGACTGCTGGGCCCTCCCCAGAATTTCTGATTCAATGGGTCTATGGTGTGACCCAATAATTTGCATTTCTAGAAAGGTCTCAGGTGATGGCAGATGCTGCTTGTTTAGAGACCACATATTGAGAATTACTGACATAATGTTATTAGGATTAGAAACTCTATCTGCAACATTCCCAATTCGAAGTGTCCACCTAATAAATATTAGTCCTCTGTTATCCACTTCTATACCATGTCTCCTCAAGGGAAAGGAAATACGTGACAAAAATAAATTGATGACATTGGATTTAAATGTGACTGAGCTAAATGTAATTATAGTTGGACAAGACTTTCTGGAAGTAAACCAAAAAATATTTCTGAAGAAGTAAATGAAAGAAAATATTTTAGGTAAATGAACATTTAGAAGCTAATGACTGGTACTAGTAAAGGCATTAGGCAAAGGGAAGGTTTATATACGGTTACTAGAAAAATAAACACATACATCATTTTGGAGAGCAATTTGGTAGTACCCACCAAAATGTGACCCAGCAATTTCACTTCTAGAACTAGATTTTTGAGAAATAAACACAAATAAACAGGGATCTAGTACAACATATTTGCAAAGCATCTCCTAAACTCAAGATGTAAGAAATGTATAAGTCATAAGTTCATAAGTCAACTTGATTTATATGTATTTCAAGCCCATTGCACCAGGTGGTAAAAATAAATCTCATTTATTTCAGGATTCGTTCCCTGATATTTTTCTGCAGTTGCATCTGAAAACCAGTAGGCATATACAGAGCAGAGGGTGTGTGTGTGTGTGTGTGTGTGTGTGTGTGTATGCTCACGTATAGAGTGTTTGGCCTTATGTCTAATCCATTCATGCTGTCATCTACTGATTTGGCCATCATTCCATTGGTACTTGATAGATTTTATATGCAGATTGCTGCTGCCTCATTGCCTGATTTTTTCCTCGCAGTCCCATCCTGTCTGCTTCATCTTCATCATCTGCTGCTTCTATTGTCCCCATACTATCGTAGGCTGCCAGATACTATGGGAGGCTGAGACTCTGATTCATTTGACACTTTCAGATGCTCAGGATTATTCTGCCGTTTCCATGTCTTGTAAATTCTGAGCTTGTATGAAACGCTAATCAACGACATACATATTTATTTTAGTCCCACTAATAGGGCAGATCAATAAAGTTCAACTACTAGCTTTGAAAGTGTCACAGATTTCCATTTGGAACTTGTATTACTTTAGTTTTTATCAGATACTGAAGAAAAGAAAATAACCATTTTGATGGCAAAAAAAGTCCTGTTTTCAAGACAAGTCCCAGATGTAAGCTACTTCTTAATCAGTGACTCAGTGATTATAACTTAGCAACATGCAAGTCTGTGTTCACTATATATAGCGCTATTTTTGTATGCATTAAAATGAGCCTCTGATGGTCAAAATAGTTTTTTTTAATTTTCAAAATGATAGCAGCTGTTTATTCTTAATTTTGAGAATAATTTGGGGAGCTATGTACTTCACTTTTTGCCCAAAAAACAGAAATGACTTCATTGTTTAGATACAGGAAGAAATATGTTAAATCATCTAACCAATGCTGCTTGGAATAGGCTTCTTTAAAACATATTTTGATTGTGTAACTGTTCTGAACTAAACTTGGCTTCCTAAGTCTCTGGATGTTATGTAACCTCAGGGAAAATACAAAAATAAGAAATAAAGACAAAATTACACAAAAGACAATGAGGTTGAGGCATTTCAGTGTTCATTTTTTTTAAGAACCCATAATGTACCAGGTGTTGTGAATACAAAGATAGATGGGGCACAGCTCCTGTTGAGGTCTCCAGCAAGGTGGGGAGATAATCAAATAAAAGTGACAATGGCAAACACAAAGTACAGAGCCAGAGAGCATTTATTCTACCCAAAGAAAGGATTCATGGTGGAGGTAACATTAACCTGTGGTGAAAAGGGAAAGGAAACATATTCAAGATTCAGGGACAGAATTTACCATGAGACCCTGTTCATTAGACTATAAGCTTGGTGATAGAAGGAAGAATGTCCAATTGACCTTCTATGCACTTAGTGCCTAAAAGAATGCCTGATACATAAGAGGTAATAAATATATATTTGCTGAATGAGTGAAAGCATGATTTCAGGTAAAGGTGGGCAGTTCAAGGTTATTCTATCTGACTAAAACACGGAAAGATTGGGATTAACAGATGAGGAATGGTAGAAAGGTAAATAATGACCAAGTGCCATGACTGTTACCTTCTAAGAAATTAGGATTTTGTCTTGCAGTCTGTGGCATGTAATTAATAGCATTTGAATAGGGCAGAGACCCAGGTGAGTATTTAGTAAAATGTTCAGTGGATCTTTCCAAGTGCTTGGAACTAGGGTTTATAGGTAAAGACCAATGATAAGTACCTCATATTATGAAGAAAACACTCAATTATAAGGTCACAGGTTTTACCTTCACTTCCTCTGGACTCCCCCCACTGCCCTACACACACGCGCACGCGCGCGCGCGCACGCACACACACACACACACACACACACACACGGAGCCCTGTGGAATTATAAGATTCTTGGTGAGGTGAAATGTTCCTTCATTTAGCCAGGATGCCAGAACAACCCTGTAGCCTCTGCTCCCTAATCTCAATACCAATTCACAGGGAGCCATGTGTGTCAAAGTGGTCCTCTTCTTTTTTCCCTGAGGGCCACAGAACGTAGTGTGATCATTCCTCTCCCTCCCTTTGGCTTTTATTCACAGGCAAATTACAGAACAGTCCCTTTTGCTGGGCAAACTATTACAGCAAACCACCTGCCTTCATACTTTCCTAGAATAGAAGAAAGGACCAGTCTCCATGTTCCAGTTCAATAGCAACCTACAAGGTACACACATCAAGCATTCCCAATGATTCTCTCATCACACTCTCCACTGCAATTTCAAGCAGTGTGGTTCCAAGATTTTGCAACCTATCAAGCATTCATCCAGGGATAGAACCAAAATGCATCGCTTCCCCTCTTGCAGGGATCCTCAAGCTCCTGTTCCTGATCCCTAACCTTCAGGCGTCATCACTGGGCATGGTGGTGAATAGAAAGTAAACACAGATGAGTGAGCAGGAAAGCCTCTCTCCACAAACATTGTCCTGAAAAGTTATTGTTTTTTTGAATTAGGGATTGTAGATAGAATAATTCCTTACCTCTTAGTTTAGAGAGGTGGTAACCAAATCGCTGGCTGCCCTCTTTGGAATGTGGAGACAATGAGCACTTCTTATCTTCATCTATAGATCTGAGAAGTCAATTTCAGGGCAAAAAAAAATTTTTTTTCTCAACATTCAATATTGGTTTCCAACAGAAATAGAATGTTTGCCACATTATGCAATTAATTCCACATTATTTAGCAGCCACATTAAATAGGGTAAAATGAATCATGTAGAATTAATTTTAAAATATCCTTCAACCCAATGTAGCCAACTACATTTTAAGTAGTGATCAATATAAACATTATAAATGAGATAATTATGTTCTTTTTTGACACTAAATCTTCAAAATCTAGTATGTATTTTATACTCACAGCACATCTCAATTTGGACCAGCCTCATTTTAAGTGCTTAATAGATTTTTTTTTTTTTATAATAAAGAGGTAGACTAACTTGTGACCAAAGCTAGCAATGGTTCCTTACTGATCACAGGATACGTTTAAATTTCTATTAGAAATATATTTGTGTTTTAGTGGGTTGTCTTCAAGGGTGGTGGGGAGGTCACCTAATGCAGGTCTCTTCTTGTCATAGAAGACCACCCTATTTAATATGGCCTTATTTTCTAATTGATTATTTAGAAACTTGTTTTTAAAACTCTGAAAGGAAGATTTTTCCTGACTCAGGTCACTGCCTTATTAAATACAGACGAAATTATAGAATAACTTTTCTTTGAACTTTGCATCACCACTTTTTTAAACTGATGAAATTTTTCCTCTTAAAACACAAATCAAACTTCCCTTCCACAAAGGCAGTTCAACACAGCGCTTTGCAGATGGATGGGTCTACTTCAATGGCCTGATAACTGAACACTGGCTGGACGTGCCCCATCTGCTCTGTCTCAGATTTTTTTCTCCAGACTGAGCAAGAAAGAATCAAGATAGAATATATAGAATAAAAGAGTAGTCATCACTTTTAAATTTATTTATGATTTTTTTGGTTTGGCAAGTTGCCTCATTCCACTTATGAGGTGCTTATGTCTTATTTTTTGAAGGTGAGGTCTGTGATCTAATCTGTATTGCACGGGTTACTTAGCACATTGAGAATGCCCAATAAATATTAACCAGGAAGAGTTTATCAAACCACTAAACACCATACACTTCCTGGTTTATCTATTGTGCCAACTTCCAGTGCAGAACCATCATGAACAGACGAGTGGTTGGATAGATTAATGAGTGAATTTATTTGATAGTTTACTGCCAAAATATTGGTACTTATAATTAAATAATATTTCCTGATCTTCTCCTATGAATCCAAGGAAAATAGTCTCACATTAGAAACAATTGTGAGTTTAAACAAATATATGGTATCCATTTGTCTCTGGAAATTTTAAAGCAGAGGTTAAAGTCCAGTAGACCCTATTATCATCAATGCATAAAAGTAGAACCCCAAAATAACTTTCTGGCACCTAAAAATCAAAAAACTTTAATAATACCAGAATATGTAATAGTCATAATATTAACTCAGAATTATTCAAAATTGAACCATATTCAATACTATTTTAGTGCTAACTAGGTTTTGTTTCTTCAAAGCTATTCATTTATCAGAATCAATCATTTAAAAAGAAATTGAGTACAGTATAGAGCACCTACTACTTTCTAGGCTTTGGAAAACAGAAAAAAATGGAGCCTACATTCTATTGGAGTATTTATTTCAATAGTTACTCAAACAAAATATTTAATACATTTAATGTAATCAAATATTTTACTTTAATTCAAGCATTGAGTTTAATTCCATTTCTGTTTGATAGAAAATCCACAAAGTAGGTGTCGGAACTACAGCGCCCATCAAGGTCTTTTGATTATGAAATTTATGTTCTTTTCATAGTGGTGTGACAAGTACTTGTCTTTCAATTCAATTTGTTCAGGGTTAGTTTAGGAAAGCCACAAGATCCCTTCTAGCTCTAAAACTTTCTTCTTTCTGTTTTTGTAATATAATGTTCTAATCCAAAGATAACCTCTAGAAAATTGAGTCTCAATATGAAAATGAAGATAATAAGGCTAAAGATAGTACTGACAATGTAACTCTTTCCTAAAGAGCTCTACAAGGAAGGTTTATGAAAATCTTGAGAATAAAGATGCAGAATAATCATATCTTTATAGATGGTATCAAGATGAAGAAATTGTATGGTGAGTTGTTCTACTTGATATTCAAATATATTAACTGCCATTCTTTCAGACTTGCTCTGAAATACGTTTCTCAGGGTAATTAAGAGCTGCTTGTTAAAGGGCAGAACAGTGGTTATCAGCGGCTGGGGCGGGTGTTGAGGATATATTCGTTGAAGCATAACAAATTTCAGTTAGATAGGAAGACAGGCATGGAGATTATAGTTAGTAACAATGTGTTGTATTTTTGAAAATTGCTGAGAGCAGATTTTAAATATTCTTACCACAAAAAAGAGAAGTATGTAAAGTAATGTTTATGTTAATGAGCCCTATTTAGCCATTCCACAATGTATACATATTTCAGAACAACATGTACATGATAAATACATGCAATTTTTGTCAATTAAAAGCTTAAAAATAACTGCTTGTTTTCTTATAAGTTCCATATCATATATCTATATTATAAAAGCATTTTAACCTCATCAAATGATATGGTTTCCTTTCCCCTGGAAGCCTCTCACAGCGAAATTGCTTCATACATCTCTTGAATGCCAATTACTAATATATATATATATAATGTTGACTAAAAGGGTGGTAAAGAGGGCATGTAATCTAGAAGAGAGGAAAGGGTCTGGGTGAAACAATCCCTTAAATCACTGGAAGCCATCCATTATTTTAAAAATTATTTGTTATAAAACTTCTAAACGAAATTTTATTGTTCCAGCTCCCTGCCCCATTTAAATAAAGGCTAGCTTCTAGCATGAATTTATCTTTGAAATTTGTATCATAACTTTTAAAAATTAATTAAATCCATCATCTCTTAAATCACCAATCAAGTTTGCTGTCTACTGAGGCAAGTCAAGGAGGCCCACTTGCAGGTGAAAGTGAGTACTCTCCAGGCCACAACATTCAGAGCCCCTAGGCCATCTTCTCAGTTGTACTCCACCTTTATAATTGCTTCCTAAATGTTGGTTTTTTCAGGAAGCTGCTGGTGCCTCAGAACCAAAATGATACCTACCAGTTCCCTTTCTGAACTTCCTGTGTCTCTTGATTACATACATTTCAGTAACATTTATTAAATAATTTTATGTGCCAGGTAGCCGGGTGCAGTGGCTCACACCTGTAATCCTAGCACTTGATGTCAAGAGTTCGAGACCAGCCTGGCCAACATGGTGAAACCCTGTCTCTACCAAAAATAGAAAAATTAGCCTGGAGTTGTGGTGGGCGCCTCTAATCCCAGCTACTCGGGAGGCTGAGGCACGAGCATCACTTGAACCTGGGAGGTAGAGGTTGCAGTGAGCCAAGATCACCCCACTGTACTCCAGCCTGGGCAACAGAGGGAGACTCATTCTCCAAAACAAACAAAAAAACAAAAATTATGTTCTAGGTGCCATTTCCCAGAAATGTAAAAACGAGTGTTATTGCCTGCTCTATATTTACTCACAATATATCAAAGAAGAGAGATACAAGAAAGAATGGGGTTGTTTACTGTGATAGAGACATGCATAGAGGCTAACAGAAGCATCCTAAAAGGATCTCTAACCCAGACTGAGAACTCAGAGCTTTCCTGGTGGATGTGCTACCCAAGACAATTCTAAAGAGAAATTTGGATTCCTCAGAGAGGGTGCAATGTGAAGGCAAATTGTCTCTTGTCTTTTCCTGGAATGCGTACCTATCATGAAGCTAATCAATTTTTTTTTTTTTTTTGAGACGGAGTTTCGCTCTTGTTACGCAGGCTGGAGTGCAATGGCGCGATTTCGGCTCACCACAACCTTTTTCGCCTCCTGGGTTCAGGCAATTCTCCTGCCTCAGCCTCCTGAGTAGCTGGGATTACAGGCACACGCCACCATGCCCCGCTAATTTTTTGTATTTTTAGTAGAGATGGGGTTTCACCATGTTGACCAGGATGGTCTCGATCTCTTGACCTCGTGATCCACCCGCCTTGGCCTCCCAAAGTGCTGGGATTACAGGCTTGAGCCACTGCGCCCGGCGAAGCTCATCATTATTATACCATATCCCATATACTTCATAGCTCCCATTCTAGATAGTGAATTCTGTAAGTCGAGGCCCATTTTTGATACAAATTTCTCTTTTGCACAGGATCTAGAAACTCTGAGTCAAGCAGGCTCCTTCTGCAAAATGCAGGTGACTTGGGATCAAGAGACCTACAAGTCTAGCATAAAAGTTTTTTCTAATTACACCAGAAATACATCATGCAAGAACTGAAATTTTTCTCATATTGAAGCAGATAAAGACATCTGCAACCTTTTAAGGAGTAGCTGAAAAACTCTCAACTTTTATTTGCTTACTAAAGCAAAGGCCATGAACAGCTCAAAGGGAATCATTTCCATTTTGTTCATCATGTGCATTTGTCAAACTTCACAAAGAACAGCGTAGATAACACAAGTGAATACTGAATGGTGCTAAAGAGGATAACTTTTCATACTGTATATCAAAGTGATAGCATTGAAAATTGGTGCAGGACAAAGCAATTTCAAGAGACTACATGGACTGAATTGTAGCTTCCTTTATCCCTCTCCTCCCGCCTCCGAGCTTAGTTTTAAGAGTTCACAGCAGTAATTTAAAAATATTGATAACGGCCGGGTGTGGTGGCTCAAGCCTGTAACCCTGGAACTTTGGGAGTCTGAGGCAAGTGAATCACGAGGTCAGGAGTTCAAAACCAGCCTGGCCAAGGTAGTGGAACCCCGTCTCTACTAAAAATATAAAAATTAGCTGGGCGTGATGGCGGGTGCTTGTAATCTCAGCTACTCAGGAGGCTGAGGCAGAGAATTGCTCGAACCTGGGAGGTGGAGATGGCAGTGAGCTAAGATTGCATCACTGCACTCCAGCCTGGGTGATAGAGTGAGACACTGCCTCAAAAACAAATTTGCAATACTCAGCGCTGGTATGTATGGAAAGACATGTAC